AAAAAGAACGTATTAACTTTTTTTTTGTAGCATTGATCGCGACGTTCGGCGACGTGAACGCGGCGGTGGAGAGGCTACTGGCCCTCGGGCAGTTGTCCATGAGCTAACACTCGCGCGGCCTCATTGCCCTGCATCGGCTCCTCGCGCCTCGCTTACACCACGACTCTCGCTTCTCTCTTGGCCCTTTGACGGTACGCATGTTCCTTCTAAATATTCGAGTGATACCTTGTAACTAAAGATTGAAGTACCCTTCTTCTGCGTCGTTAATATTTAGTCTAAAAGATAAAAGGTAACATTCTAATATTAAGAACGATTTATACATCACATGTTGTCATATTTTCGAGGTTGTGGGAAACCAAGTGTTTATTTTCGGATTAATTTGTTTATCGCTACTGGACCGCACTTGTAGCGATGCTATCGTGTCTAAAATATAATAATTCTTTATTTTTGCCTTTGTTTATCACGTTTTATTTTTGGATCAAATTAATTTTTGGTAATATTTAGTTGTTTTGTGCAGTCGAGTCCAGTGGCGTCGTTAGTTGAATTGTTAGATGTAGCAACACCCGCAGGTGTAAGTGAGCAATAAGGTAGCCTCAACTTTGTCGTCGGATTTAAATCTGCAACCCTAAAATTCCTGACTGTGACTAACGTCGAAAAAGTAATTCTATAAGTACTAGGTGTTTTCTTATACATGAAAATATTAATATTCATTCCTTCTTGTTTTTAGGTATTATGCAAAATTGTTGTTTATGCATAAGAAAATAAACACTTATCATTTTCATTAAAGCAAAGATGGTAAAAGTCATTTGATTTTTAGGTGTTCTTATTACTGTAAAGAAATATATTTCTATATGGTAAAATAATTAATTTAATTTGTTCACTAATGTTTTTATCGATGTGAACTAATTTTGGTGTTTGCGTACAGATACGCAAGTAATTGTAGGTTTATGTAAATAGTTTTGCTTTGCAACAACATAAAATGTGAAAAAAAAACGCAATTTCAGGCAATAAAAATGTGTTTCCACTATAACGTTTGATTAGTAGAGAATGGTGTCCATAAACGTGTATAGATTTTTTAATAATATCTTCGTAAATTATTCAGTTTGTCACAAAATGTATTGGAATTTCACATTTGATACGCTATTGCCATGTGAACATAAATTTTCGCTATTATTTAAAATATTCGTCGTTATTGAGAAGAGTGCAGTACATTCCCGAACTTTTATTTAATTTAACTCAGATGCTGCGATTGAATTGATCGTTGTTTATCCATTAACAATAATGAAAATTAAATAATTAACAAGTAAACATTCTCCTTCTTTCTTTACTTCATATTTATTGATTGTGCGCTCTTTACAATAAAGTATATTCATAAAAAATGTTTTTTTTATACGATACGTTATGTGGTGGTAAAACTATTTTGAACATAGCTTTTGTTTGTAGTGGTTTTATAGCGAATTCATTAAATTTAAGTTGTATAAAGTATGAAAGGGTACTGTTGCTCAGTTTGGTAGGGTAATGTGGAATTGCCCAGAAAGAAAAGAATTTGAATTGTAAATTTTTTATAGATTTCGTGAGGTGCACCTAGCATTAATTCGCCATTGAATAAAACCTTCCTTTGAATCTCCACTGGTAGCACTATCGGCATGCCTTTCTATTCTGACGACTGAAAGACGGAAAAAAACAATACTGACACGCGCGGCCTAAAGTCCACAAGCAATGTTTAAGTGCTGGTCACTGTGACGTCGTTATCGCGATATCGCTCATGGTTTCGACGCGGCTTGTAGCCTCAGTGACGTTGCGGTGTAGTACACTGCAATATTGCTTGTAATGTGGCCCTTAGGCGCTTGTAACTCGCACAATTTTAGTTTGTGCTGCCAGTGCTGAAAGTGGCTTCATAAACCCCATATTTATCCAAATTCAAGTAGACATTAGCTGACCATATATTATAATCATTAAAATCCAAATTTAGTTGCGAGTAGTTTAAGTTGCCATTATGTAATATCATTACGTGTTTTCTGTGATTTGGTCTAGACTGCTAGAATCGTCTAAAATCGTATGAATCTGGGTGTAACAACATTATTATGTGACAGAATGCAATTATTATAATAAACTTGAAAATACAACCATTGTTTTATTTTACACTCCTGCATTAAATACCTGATAATTAGTCACAAATTTTAGGTACTCAAACCAGACCATTCTACCATACCCTAAAAAAATAGCCAAAACACTTTGTTATAGTTATTAACTATCGATTTATGCAACAATCAGACTGGTGTACTCAAGTTTATGATTTTAATACTTATTGTTTTACTCATACTACTGATTTTAACTTCGCAGTTGTCACGTAAGCCGCTAGATGGCGAGTTGTTCCTTCCGGAACTTTGATTACGTTCTGTCAATGAAATAGCCATAATATTTAATTATATTTAGTTAATTACTAAACACTGACATTATGTACTGATATACAGTGCGTTGATTTGCATTCTCGCCATATTTAACAAAATTTATAATAGAAATAATGCTAAATCATCAAAAAATATTGAAAAATATATTCTGTTCAATATTTTGGCTAATTGTATCTAGTAAAGTTTTGCAAATATGTCCCTAAATCGTATACACCGCGCTAGGGCAGTGACCCCGCCACCCGTTTCACAATCTTTCACGATTTCGCTTTTACCTATTTTCTTAATTATGATTATTTACTAGTATTGTTATAATTTACTCATTGTTTATATTAATTAGAAAAGTTGACTGAAAAACTTTTTTTGTGCCTTAGATTCGGTACTTACCTACCAACTTTAGGTTACTTGAAAGTATTGCCTAGAAGAAGTACCTAGCTCCACAGCTAGTGGCTGGATCCGTACTGGAGCCACCACCATCTATGTAGAGCTTCCCACGTGAGTTTCGTTTCAACTTAGCACATTTAACTTCACAACTTTGAAAGTAGAGACGATTTTTGCGCGCAATTCTTCGACCCTTGTAATCTCCTCCGCGTAAACTTGTGACGATGTGACCTCCTTACATCGTCATCCCACTGTTTCATCATCTTTTCTCTGATTCCTGGCCACTTATTTTTAAATTTTTAATCGTTCTTTATTTCATTTGCCTCGCCATTCTCTTTTTGTTTCATGGAATCGTGGTAGCAAGCAGTTCGGCTGTAATTTCCAATTGCGTCTAATTTTGATCCTTTTACCAGTTCTCACCCCAATCATGTGCTAATTTTAATGATAATACCAATCTGTAATTCTGTATAACTCGGTCCTTTTGGGATAAGTGTCTACTTTATATTATTCACCCATAAGCATATCCGTATGTAATTAAGACTAAGTTAGGGCGTGTTGTATAGTATTGTACCTGTGTTTTTATATATGCTATATATTATATTATATTATAATGCTGTTACAAGGCAGCATTTCTTTCCTTTCTTTACCTTTTAACTATGGAATAAATTTGTTTTGATTTAGCTCTAAGGTTAATATTATGGATATCTCCTTTCTTATTGAAATTATGTATATTTTGACGGGCATATAAAATATTTGAGTAAATGTATTGTGATGCCACAGTCATGATACTTAAACTTTTCTCTGAGAGAAACCCGAGAGAGTCTGAGAGCCTAGACGGTACACAGAATTGAACACATACAACACGCAGAAGTACATTTACCGAGGGTCCTTGCTTTGTTTTTTAATGTGTATGAGTCATACTCACCTACCCGATGAACTCATGAAGACAATAGATGTGCCCATTCTAAAGGACAAAACGGGTGATATTTCAGACGCATCAAATTACCGGCCGATATCGCTGGCTACAGTAATGGCTAGTCAAGTAGGCTGTCTAACACTAGACAGCCTACTTGACAGACACATGTTTTGCAGTTTTGCATGACGCTCAATTTGGCTTCAGGTCGGGCCTCTTCACAGAAAGTGCCTATTTGTCTCTAAAACACATTGCGCAATACTACACATCAAGAAAAACCCCAGTTATCGCATGTTTCTTAGATCTGTCAAAGGCGTCGATCTTGTAGTGTATGATGTATGTACATACTATGGCAAAAGCTGAAAAATGACTGATGTAGCGGATGAGGTTGTGTTTATGCTTAGTTATTGGCACTCGAAACAAACGAACTGTGAGGTGAGCAGATTCGCTTTCGAATGAGTATAGGTTGGAGTGCGGGGTGAGGGAGGGGGGTAGACCTCTCACCGACTTTTTAATTTGTACATATATCGGTTGATTGTTGATCTCAGTAGCACCTATCTATAGAAATAGAAATCGATCAACGCAATGTTAAAACTGCTCCACATATGTGAAAATTATGCGGAAGGTCATGGGCTCAAATACAAGGTCAAGAAGAGCGAGTTACTTGTTTTTTAAGTCAGGCATGAAGAACTATCCTGATATGCCAGTAGTTACACTCTGTGAAGTCGTCAAATTTAACTATTTGGGCCACTGGGTTACCGAAGATCTTAGAGAAAATTTTTACATCTGCAGCCTATGGACCAAGTACTCGCAGGAGGCCTACAACGCTCTACGTATACAATCTAATAATGCTTTTAGGATCTTGTTGGGGTTGCCGCGTTTCTGTAGCGCCTCTGGCATGTTCACCGAAGCGCGAACGAATGGTTTCCATTTCATCATGCGAAACAGATGCGCTTCGGTTCTAAGCAGACTGCGCGCCAGCTCGAACGGGATCCTGAACATTATTGCGGACAGGTGGGACAGTCCCATACTGGAGAGATGGGTGTGCCTGTACCTCGCCTTTTAAAATAAAATTAACATCGTTTAAAAAATTGTTGTTACTAACCATTATGAACCAAGTGTCTGAAATTATAAGAAGTTTTCGATTCTTCAATAGTAATCTCGTCTCCTTCATACCCGTGACCGCTCGTCCTGCCGATCGGAGGACGGAAAAACCCGACGTGACTAGTCCCTACAAGTCTAAGTACCAGAATTAAAAAAAAAAATTAATTAAACCAGAATTGCATAGTTAAATTGTAATAACAGTAACTAACAAGAATAATTGGAATGTTTGCACGCCGTAACTAAAGTATAATTACAATAAGTTTAACAATAACAATTGGAATGTAAGATAAGGGGTCTAAATTTTAATATAGGTACGTAACAAATGAGATTAATGAAATCACAGTGTATTTTTACTTAAGCTAGGCTCTTCTAGTGCAAAATCTTTGTTACATGTAAAGGGTATATTTATTGCGTATCTAGTTCCGGAGGTAACCCTTTCTATGTAATTGCGATTTTCAGGCCCGCTTGTATAAATTAGGACTCTCCCTTTCCTTGGCTCAACAGTGCGGTTCAGATGTTGGTCTGTAAATATGAAGCGTCCACCTTTGAAGTCTGTATTGTAGTTGTTCAGGTAAAGATATGCCGAGAAATGGTTCCCTCTGTGGGATAGCTGTAAACAACAAAATAAGACATTTGTAAGTGGCACAATTGTAGAATATGTTTGGTTTTTTTCTCATATACACGACAGTAGCTTCTTAGGCTCAATTTTCATTTTCTTTCTAATTCGAAACTATTCATTACTCTTCCTAATTCTAAAATTTTGTGACTAGAAAGGGTTAATTCACTAGTTTTTCTGCGTGCAATCAGATTTAAGCTACGAGCTGTGGTGCTCGAGATTAAAAAAAGGAGCCACCGGAATAAGCTTATTCAAGCGTGGACAGTAAAACACTTTAATGATTTCAGAAGGCGTAAAGACTAAATCTAGTTCTTTACAACTAGAACCGACTAAATCACGAAATTTTTAGTGTAATCAGATCTAAGCTAGGTGTTGTGATTCTCGAGATTAAGAAATGGTGCTTCTGGAATAAGCTTATTCCAGTGTGGACAGTAAAACACCCTTATAACTTTTGATTGGTGGACCTACTAAATCTAGTGTTTTGAGACTAGAACCAACTAAATAGCAAGTTTTTTTTTGCCGAGTAAAATTTCAAAAACTTAACCATGGTCACACTGGAATATGGCACAATTCATAAAACTAAAGCAGCTTTTAGTGAAGACTGTTTACTTTAATGAGTAAAATCTTTTTGTAAATCCAACTAACCGGATCCTGGTAAATTACACTTACATAATCGATTTGAGGCTGCCAGTACTTATCAAGTGGAGTGACAGGGTCTTTTGAAGTCAATGCTGAGAAATATCCAGGGCGGGTTGGATAAATGAGAGCTGGGTTCACACCAAAGTGGTGTGCTACTGCATGTCGCACTTTCTCTTTCACATTCTGTAAAAAAATTCATTGCATAACAAAAAATAATATAAAAATAAAATAAACAGAAAAATTAAAATACAAAAAAAAACATGTTTATAATATACACAGTGTTTTTTTTAAACAGGACTGGAGAAATCTAAAACCATAGAAGATAATCAAATTTCATAAAATATAATACAAAATAAAATTGACTATTTTTTGAAATGCTGATAGATTCACTTTCTTATACATACATAAAAGGATGACTTCATTGTATTGGAAGCAAAAAATTGGACAGCAGAAATTGGTCAAAATTAATAAAAAAAAATTGTATACAAAATTAATAAAATAAAATGAAATTAATAAAAATGAAACACATTCTATTTTTCCATCAAATTTGACCAACTTCTGCTGATTTTTTTCATCCCATACAATGAAATGAAATCTTTACATAAAACTGTGTCAATCAGCAGCTGCAGTGCCAGTTGCACGTAACGCACATCATTTTTGCAGACTGGATATTGAATACAGATTAGTAATGGTGCAGCTGCCGCGGCGCGGCAGCGCCACTGTAGTGCTTCAGCACAAGAGCCAACGACATACAGACGGATGGATGAATGAATGGAGACATACGAAACTGTAAAGGTTGGTAGTATGAAAACGAAATCCTAAAAACCAATGAAACTACATTCATATTACCGCATAAAGTTGAAAATCTTCTTCACTAAACAACTTTTTTATATCAGGTTTATAATAAATATTGATGAAATGGTCTCCCTTTGATAGGTGTCCACTATGCAAGTCCAAAGTGCTAGCGCCGCCTGCAGACTCTCCTTCCTTAAGTGCTTTTTGTAGTATCTCTAACAATCCTTCAGCTTCTTCAGCAGTAATTATTTTATCAGATACATATCGTTTACATTCCTTTATAAAACATCGCCCATGGTCGACTAATGAGTTCATATAATCCACTGTACATTGCAGCATTTGACCCTTGCCTACTAACATCTCCGACTGCTTGGCGAAGGTCTTGGTTTTGTCATGGGCAGAAGTGAAATATACAACGATAAGAAGAGATGTAATTATCACAATGCGTGATAGGACCCGTAGCGATGTTTTGTTTCTTTTAAAAGTACTGAAACACAAAATATGTGAAGTTGCGTGATTGTTTAATATTATGTCCATTCGAAACAAGAATCACGGCAAAGTAAAATAGGAACTTACGGTATTGTTTCATAGCTGGCGCTTTTAGGTTTTTCAGCAGCGTTGTTGTCGTTAACATTTGATTTGCTCTTTAATCTCTTTACTAAATCAGTCATTTTTGTAATTATTCCCTATGTTCTATATTTATTTAGGTATTTTGGAAAAAAAACATATTTCACAGGAATATTTTTCTATTTTTTAAAATTCGAATATTGATTTCTACTTGTCTATAGTTATCTGTGATCTTATAAGGAAAATTGAATTTTCTTTTTTTTTATTCTCCCTCTACGTCTGAGATATTGTTTTTTTTATTTCATAAAGAACCGTTTTGTTCCGAAAAGTCGTAGACAGAGAAAACTAGTTTACTAACTAAACTTTTCTCCTACTAGTTTAGTAAATACGTAGGAGAAAAGTATTTTTTTCCATCCAGGGAAAAGCGAATGAACTTTTCATTCAAACGTGTTAAATACGTACTTCTCGTTCATTGACCGAAAAATTTGAAAAGTGATAATCTATTGAGGCTACTCACCACTAAATATGTTGGTCGACGGGTACTCAGATGTTTATTACGAAAACGTTAATACATAGATTGATGGCAAGATTCATGGCGACATTATTTATTCTTTGTAGTTTGTGGTTGTTTATCCCGTTATTCGTCGAAATTGAGTGAGTAGAGTTCGTCGTCATTGAGGGAATACGACCCAATATCTCGTTTTTCTCAGTGGCTTTTACCTGTACCAGTTTATTTATAAAATAAACTACCAGTTTATTTTATAAATAACTGGTAATTCACGACAAATAAAACTTCAAAAAATATTTCTAAACGTAGAACATACTATGAGATTCGAAATTATATTTTTGCAATTTTGAAAATTTTTCCAACTTTTCGGGAATTATTCGGAAAACTACCCAACCAACACAACAGTATACTGTATAATATAATAAAACACCAAAACATTTTTTTCCATCCTGACAAAACCGCTTAATTTTGACCATAGAGGATGGAGCAGTTTTGACTTTAGGGTTTTAACCTTATAGCTTAGACTATGGAAACAGGACATGTTACGTTGACATATATAAATCAGACGTTATATGTATATGATGCATTTCGTCGTCGAAAACATAAACATATTATTGTCTTTGTTTAACTATTACGTGCCGTCTTAAGCCAAAAGAGATAGCATTACATTGGTCTGTGTCAAACACGGGAATCGAAAATTCGTAACGTCATTTTAAATGCCAACCGTGGCCATTTCAAGTACATGAGGTACATGATACCGTTGTCAAAGGGAAGTACATCAAATGTCAAAACAAATGTTTTTCCAAATGTATTATTGAATTATTCACATGTATTATAATTAAATTGGACAAAAATATTGACAGTGAGAATAATTAGGTATTAATAAAAATGCGACGCTGCAGCATTAAAGGATGCGGCTTTAGAAAAACTGCAAATCAATCGAATGTTACATTGCACAGGCATGTGTTATTTTTTTGTCTATAAATCACACAATAGCCCGAATATTTTATGTAATTAGACTTATTTAAGTAGTTTATTTATAAATCTTGCCAAATTTTGCTTTTGTTACTTTAGATTGCCTGTTTGTTTGTATATTTTGATGATTGTTGTTAACGATTATTTTGAGATAGTGTTGATCTTGTAAGCATACATATTATCGATATTCTGTTATTAAAACAATTCACTATGAGGTTTTTATTGTTTTATTATTATTATTTCAAGTTTTCCTAGAAATGAAAAAAGGAAGAAAGAATGGTTGGAAATCATAGGACTGCCGAATATAAACGTTGGATCAAAGACCATCTTCATTTCTTCGCTTCATTTTGAAGAGTCAAATTTTAACAGAACTTTAAATGTAACTAGATTACATGACAATACTATTCCATCATTAGGTTTATTGGTATTAGGTTTATTTATTTAGGTTTATTGGTTTACGTTATGTACATATGTACTAAAATGTAGGTTAAAGGCGTACCTCTTAAAGTAATTTTTATATTTTATTTAGTAAGTACAATTAATACTACGTAATGTTAAATACAAGTAAAGTAGGAATAATTAAGCAAGAATGCGCATGTCGCCAACAAACTGCACAGCAGTTTGGTGACTTTTACTAAATAAGTTACCAGTTGTAATGTTGAAAATAATTTTTTTTTGAAGTTTAAAAATGTGTGTTGACATTTATAATAATATACCACTCGAGATTAAATTATCAGACTTGTGTTTGTTTAGGCATACTTTGGTTACAGTAAACTAAAGAAACAAAAATTCAAGCCATACATTTGCATGTCGATAATGACTTATCGATAGATTATGGTACAACACTAAAGAAATCCGCCATTTGTAACTTTCAAATTTTGGTAATATGCACGTTGATTCTGTACTTAGGGCAGCTCCTTTCTTTTATTTTTTTCCATCCTCTAAGCCTTATAGGATGGAAAAAAAAATAGTCAAAGGTTTTGGCCTTAGAGGATAGAAAAAAATAAAGGAAAGGAGCTGATTTATCTACGGAATAAACGTCCCTACTTAAACCAAAAATGTCCACTACAAATGGCGGATAAGTCAATATCGACATGCAAACGTATGGGTTGAATGTTGAAACTGTTGTGTTTTATTATTGCAAATTTGTGTACTTTACTGTAATCAAAGTATGATTAATATTAGACTATTATTACTAGGCAAGTAATAAGCCATTTTAATCAAAATTAAATATAAAGTTATTTACCAATAAATGTAACGATGTAATTACATTATCATGTAATCTAGTTACATTTAAAGTTCTGTTTAAATTTGAATGGAGCGAACAAACTAAGATGGAATTTGATCCAATGTTCATGTTCAGCGGTCCTATAATTTCCAACCATTCTTTCTTTCTTTTTTTCATTTGTAGGTAAACTTAAAAAAGGAATGGAATAATAAAAACCTCGTAGTGAATTGTTTCAATAACAGAATATCTATAATATGTATGCTTACAAGAACAACACTATCTCAAAATAATTGTTATCAACCATCATCAAAATATACTAACAAACAAGCAATCTAAAGTAACCAAAGCAAATTCGGCAAGACTTATGAATAAACTACTTAAATGAATCTTTTTATTTTATTAAATTACATGAGACATTTCCGCTATTCTATGATTTATGGGTGGAAAAATAACACATGTCGATGTAATGTAACATTTGGTTTATTTCCACTTTTTCTACTGCCGCACGCCTTAATGCTGCAGAGACGCATTTTTATCAATACTGAATTGTTCTCACTGTCAATATTTTTGTCCATTTAATTACAATTCATGCGAATAATTCACTAAAACATTTGGCCAAACATTGGTTTTGACATTTGATGTACTTCCTTTTGACACCCGGATACGGATGTCAAAGGGACCAGACAGACCGAGCACTGAGTTAATAAAACGAGCCGAGTGAGAGGCTTCAAAGTAGTAATGCGTCTCTATTTAATAGGGTGTTCATTCATGTTTCAGCCAGCCGTATTGTTTGTAACTATTTAATTTTTACAGAAAATGTGGCCACTTATGGATGACCAAAACTACTAATATTACTTCATAATACAAATTAAACTCTAAGCTGTGAGATGGAGTCGACGTAAAAAAATATAAACAAACACCTGTCACTGTCAAAGTGACATCTCATAAATCATAAAACGTTTTTTTTATTAATAATTTTGGGTTAGATACAAGTCTTTTGAGCCATGTCTTCGTTTAATTATGTTTCTGTAAATATGGCCGCCACAAAGAGGATAGGCAATTTGAGGCGGCGTGCTTGGATCGACTCGGGATTTCTTAGAGAGGGTCGATACGGGTATTTTTATATATATGTAATCAATATTATATATATGTAATTAATATTATATATAAAGTAATTTCTATATATATGTGTATTCTATATATATGTGTATTCTATGTATATGTATATTTTCTATAATATAATTTCGCGTTTTATTCTTCGATTAAAGCTCAATAGCACTATCCTATTCCACTTTAAACTAGATTTCACAAAATAATTGAAAGTCAAAATAAAAACGACACTTTTCCCTCCAAAAGGCCCAGAGCGAATCCAGACCAAAAAACTTTTTCCACGTTCGTTTATTAACATTTTCTACTCTATTCTGATTAGACTAATAAACTAAAATGAAAAATGGTCGATACCACAGACATATATCTAGATAGACGCCTCACGTGTATACACTTCGCGTGCCCAAAGTAAGTGAAATTCACTTACTTGCCGCGCTGATACACTTTAGAACGCGCTCGACCGTTATCGTAGATAAACACCAGTCGAAAACGCGAAAAATATATATTGTGCCATTATAAACTGCAAAAGTACCATAACTGTGGGTAAACGGGTAAACAGGGACGTTTCCTTCTCCGGCAAGTGATTTTGTAATCAGAAGATGCATAATTTGTTTTCAAAAGAATTCTTTTGGATTTGCATGAATTTCGAGAAAACAAATATCCAACCCAGTGTATGCCTCATGATTTGTAACACATTGCGGCTTTTACTTGGTGCGATATATTTGTGATCCTTTGTTAGTACGCCATGAATATCGAACGAACGCACTTTTGCATAATACATTCAGTTTCTGTGGTTTTATTTTTTTTGGCCAAATTTAACATTTAATGATGTACACGTTAGGCAACACTGTTCTCGATTCTGATCGATTTTGATAACCAAGAGACGAAAATTATTATGACCTTAGCAATTAATTACAAAAAGACAGTTATTTAATAAATTTATATTATTTCAAGGACAATAATTTTAATATTTGAAGTTGACTAAAAATCAAAGTTTAAATTTTTAAGTAATAATTTTTTTTAAATAACTTTTAATAAACGACATATATATATTGTTTTGATATTTTTCTACTATATTAATATTTCACGAATACTTGGATCGATTAATTGAATGGAATAAGTACTTGTATTCCGTTCATTCCATCGAGTATATAATCAGAAATAGAGACGAAATATTATTTAATTTGTTTGAAAACTATTCTGTCATATCATGACCATGACAACTGTGCTCCGATTGGCTAGCCCGAGTTCGAAACAATTGACGGATGTCGTCAACTGTTTCACTTCAAATCGACCAGTTAACTTGAATTTTGCTGTAATGGACGAAAATTGCAACATTACATATTTAATATTCAATTGCCGATAAAATGTAATTCCGTTTGTTTTGTACCTACTTAGATGTTTTGCTGTTTTTCCCACACCACCGAATAGAACAGCACGGCATTGTTAGAGATATTATCTTTATTACAATAAATACAGAATATTTTTTGGAATATTCGGAGACGTACACACAGGTCAGTAGTTGGCCTGTCTATATTTCAGTGCAAACGAGAGTTGATATTTATAAGAGCTGTATCGCTAATGTGTTACCAGGAATATGTGGCCCTTATTTCGTCTCTATTTTTGGTTAGATACTCGATGGTTCAATCAATCGATTTAGCGCGAAATGAGGTTTCCCATCACTAAACAGTTCTTGTGACGTCATGGTAGATACATATGTGCTCCTTGTGAGTTTATTGTTCTGTGCATATGTGGCACGCTCGGTTTTCATACAAATTGCTGTACTAGCGGCGTCTATCTAGATATATTATGTCTGTGGTCGAAATTTGGGTCGTTTATCCAGAACTCTACTCAATGCTCAAGTCAGTGTTGGGCGTTAATCAATTAAATTTCAGTCAGAAATTCAATCAGATTAAAAAATCAATTCAATTGATATCAATTGCAATTAAATCAATTGCGACACGTCGATTTCAATTGAATTGATTTTAATTGCAATTAATTTTTTTAGTTGTTCTAAGACACAATTGAAACTAACAATTAAAACCGAAGCTACCGAATAAAAGTGTCATTACGAATGTGGGTTAGGGGGTGGGTTACTTAAAATTTTAAAATAAAGGTCATCTAATTTTATAATTTGTTTTACATTCAGGTTACATTCACAGCAAACGTTGTAAACGTTATTCTCAGCAAAAATATATGGTTACATTTTGAGTTTTTTAATTCTTTATTATAATTATTTTTAAGCGATGTATTTGTAATAAATAATGAAAACTCGAGATGTGGGGAATTTGTGCGGAATATGAACTTTGTTCTCCCCAAATTTGGGGATATTAGCCGTGATTTTTGGGGATTTTGAATAATTGGCAATAGCAACGCTCGGGTTGCGCAGGGCAGCGCAGGGCGTATTTATTTGCGCGGAAGATGCTGAGAATTTTACGTTCTCATGCGACATTTAAATGTTAATTCGTGTACATATATTTATTCAATAATGATAATTTTATAAGAGAAAACACGCAAATAATGATCTAAGGTCCAGGTATTTATCATTCGTCTTTATTCATAAAGTATTTATTCCAAATTTCAACTCTGTAATGCAGTAATCTTGTTGCAGATAAATAATGTATTCGCCTAGGCAGAAGATATTGTGGTTTGCGTTTAGTACAAGAGTTGTTGTGATATTTCTACAAGCAATATCGAATTTTGTGATACCAGACCACGATGCGAACGTGTTTGTCAGTCCCGAGGACCCAACACTGCGTAAAACTATAGCGGATCACATCGTTGACAAATTACTGGGTGGTATGAAGAGATGGGATGCTCAGTACTTCATTCATATCGCACAATACGGGTATACTTATGAGAACTGTCTTGCTTTCAGCCCGCTCTTCCCACTAATTGTAAGATACATGGCTTATGTGATAAACAGTGTGCTAGGATCCTTCATAAACTTCCATAGCACTCTCTTAATATCTGCAACGCTAGTTAACCTTGTAATATTCATTAAATCTGCTGATATTCTGCACAGGTTGAGTTTGCGAGTACTCAGGAGTGAGTGCAGAGCGTATAAAGCTGTAATATTGTTTTGTGTGAATCCAGCAAGTATATTTTTCTCAGCACCATACTCAGAAACACTTTTTAGTTGGATGACTTTTTATACAATGCTAAAATGCACTGACAATGAAACATTCCGGTTTGCAAATATAGATATAGTAAGCAGTCTACCAGCTGGATTCTCTATGATTACCCGATCCAATGGCACTGTTAACTTAGGTTTCATATTCTATGCAACTTTGAAAAATGTTATTGAGCGAACTGTACCTGAGATAGTGTACAAATATAAAACTGTGAAGCATAAGATTATTCTTCCATTCTTGTTGATGCCACTATTTGTTTCATTTGTGGCAATGTTACTGACTGTGATAATAGCTCTGATACCATTTGCATTGGTACAAACCTACAATTATTTAAAGTATTGTACACACAACGAACATAATTTGCCAGAGTTTTTATCGAATACAGAGTATGTTCTGCCTGGCAGAGCAGATAGTCCATGGTGCAATGATTCTCTTCCCATGTCCTATTCCTATATCCAAAGTCATTATTGGGAAGTAGGACTCTTCAAGTATTACAAATTGAAACAGATTCCTAACTTCATGCTGGCATCACCAATTATATTTCTTATCTTATATCATTGTTTGTCTTACATTAAAAACAATCTACGATTGTGTTTTCGACTTGGGTTTAGAAGTAACACATTCAATTATGGTTATACAAACCGTATGCCTTATAGGCCAAAACAATATTGTAAGGGTTTTGGGGCCAATGATCCTGCATTTTTTGTATATGTAGTACACATAATGTTTTTGACAGTAGTCTGTATAGCATTCGTACATATTCAAGTGTCAACTAGACTTCTGGCATCTGCTAGTCCAGTTTTATATTGGATTTGTTCAAGTAGAATGAATGTAGGTCCTACACCTACGTCTGACCAAAATACTATAAATGAACACTTTCGTAGAATTGGTATCGGCAAGAGAATACCATCTCATCACTTGTCTATAGCTAATTTAGAAGGTGTAGACAATATGTACAGCAAATGGAAAACATTTATTATATCTAGAAGGATGCCAGACTTCCAGTCCCGCTTGATACAGTATTATTTCTTAGGTTACTTTATTATAGGCACCATTTTCTATTCTAATTTCTTTCCATGGACATAAATTATAATACTATCTACAAGAACAAAATAAAAAATAAATAAAAAGAACATATCATGTGACGTATCATCCACTTCTATCATGTTTTCTTAGTAAAAAAAATCACTTGCTATCAGTAGCTTAAATAAAAAATATACTAATAGAATGGATAGAGACAAATGATAGATAAATTATAGATATAGAAGTTTATACTTTACTATTGTTAATATTTGAAAAATATTTCAGAGTTATAATAATGGTTTAAATTTTCAGGCTTGAAATTTACCTAATAAATCATGGGGCCTTTCAAGATTAGTCCATTTTATATAACATTAGATGAAAATCATATCGCTTTTAAATTATAGGTATAAATAAGATTTTTCTTCATATTGAGGTTATTCTCTAATTAAATATAGCTTTAAGACAAAAGATGCATTTGTTAATTCAAATTTATTAATTTTTTAGTCATTTCTCTAGTCCTTTGATTTTATAATGCAAAGTTTTTAAAATAAGGAATTGCATCTTAAACAAGTACTACTTAATTCTATTTCAATAAGTATTGACTCAAAGCATGCTTGTCCATTTATTTAGCTTACCGTCCATTTTTTAAATCAACATAATGTAGCTGTCCGTTCATAATATAATTTATAAATATTTGTTGTTTATAGGCTGGTTTAATTAGGGCTTGTGCAGTCCTTCATTGTTGCAACCAGTCCAGTAATTAACTATTGTGATCTTCACTAATTGCAATTAGAACCAAGACCAAGAGAATAAAACAAATGTATTCACTTTGATTGTCTTTACCTGTAGGGCTAGCACGATAGGGCGCGACTAGCGCGAGAGCGACATAGAGCGCGAGATACTACTCTTCTCGCATTATGTCGCTCTCGGGCAAGTCGCGTCTTATCGTGCTAGCCTACTGCTCCGGGTGGAGATTTCTTTTTTGTCGAATAGCGAGTTTCGCGTAATGTGAACAATTGACAATATGTATGAATAATTATAAAGATTTTTATAAAAATAGGCTTCAAAAATTGGCTTACACGCTTGAACTGTGTTCGTTACCGGGGTCTCCTGAACAATAACTGAAACGCATGTGGAAGTCCTTGTGAATAATGAATAATTTGAGTCCAAACACAAGGTAGCTGCTTTACTCTCTTGAAGAATTCCTCTCATCACTATAAAATTTTATTTTTATTGCACATCTATTTCCCAAGTTTCATTGAAATCAGTTATAATGGAAAGTGGGTGAAATCCAATAAAACAGATTTATGACCTAATATTTACCACGCTTAGAGGTGGAATGTTTACTTCAAATTTGAAGGGGACCAGTACTGAGGTACCCTAGTTCCAACAAAACAAGGATCGTCGACATCGCTTCACAAATGTCGGAGTAATCTCGTAACATACACACAAGAAAGTCGAAATGAAAACCTCCTTTGTTTGAAGTCGGTTAAAAATTAAATTTAACGTCCAGCCCCTGTAGCATGGCTACGCATGAACGTCGCGACGCGCGCGATAAAATTGAAATAAGCGCGCGCTATTGGCTATCTGAATGAGATAACCAATAGCGCGCGTTTATTCCAATTTTATCGCTCGTGTCGCGACTATCATGCGTAGCCATGCCACGGGGGCATAAGTGGACGTCTTTTGCAGATGATAATTAAAATAAAATAATTCATAACATTATTTTGTATCCTCTGTCTCAAGTATAAATGTGCATTGAGCTACACTAAGAGCTAGATGGGTTGGTTTCATTGGACTAAGTTCATTTGTCTGTTGGTCAGAAATCTAGACAATTTCCCATATAAAAATAAGTCTCATTTGTATACAGATTAATCCTGTGACAACTTATTACAGTTTTGCAACATAATAATGATGAGCTAACAGTTTCTATCGTTCCATATACATGCTTAATGCAGAGGAGACTCTATCTAGAAATCTTCTTATCTTGATAATGCTTTATTTTACTGTAGTTATAGACTTAAGCCAAATATCATAAGGTTGTGAGACTGTTATTGTAAATAGTATGCACTATTGCCGCATTCCTTTTTAAACGAATTGAATTTTGAAAAATTAAAAAAGACTTAAAAGTTATGGAAAATGTTTTATTTTATTCCCTACACTTGTTAAAAAGAGCTTAAATTTATTAGCACAACACAAAGTACAAATTTTTTTTTTTAATTATCACCTAAAAAGTTTTTTACACTTAAAAATTCATATATGCTGCTATAGAACATTACTCAAAAACATTGTAAATACGAAAATACACACAATAGCTCGAAGCTTAGATCACATTTAAAATAATATTTAAATGTTACATTAGCATATTAGCCACTATAATATGCGTTTATAAATTAATTTTACGCGGGCAAACTTTTAAACTTTGAACTGCAAATCCCACAATTTATGCTATTCATAGATTCTAACGATTTCAAATTGTCACTTCACTTATTTTATTGTTGAAAGAGTCAATAGCATGTTTTGCACATTGTATAAAATTGATTTGACACCAACACGCAGCTCAGTGGAGGTTGTTGTCAGTGGAGTCGGGCTCAGCACATTCAATAAGTTGCAGAGGACGAACGATCTGCACCGGTGGTGCCCGCAGGGGTGGTGGCGGGGGTGGCAGCCTCGGGGCGAGTGGAGGGGAGGGGATAACGACTGCGGGAGGCGAGGGCGCAATAATGGGTGCGGCGGCGATAACGGGTGCGGCGGCGATAACGGGTGCGGCGGCGATAACGGGTGCGGCAATGGCGGGGAGCTCCGGCGGCGTATCTTTTAGACAACAAAAATGTGTGTTATGGTCAGTTTAAAATTTTAAAAACATCAACAGTGACTAAAAACACCGTGCATAATAGTACTAACAAACACAAGTTAGTACTATTTGGAAAACAATTCATTTCACCACCACATAGAGAGGGTGCCCCAAAACTCAACGTCAAAAGGACACCGAGCGAGAGGTCAAGTTATATCAGTTCTGGTAAAAATAAAAAGTATAATAGATGAAAATGATAGAGAATAATAGAATTATGGTATGGTTGGTGTGACAGGCTGGTGTCCGCAAATCGACCGTCCAGGATCCTATTACTTCAAGTGATATAAGCATTTTTTTGGAAAATCCGACACCTTAGACCACCTTTAGGTACTCTCATCACAAATTTTCAAATTTTGCAGTTTATCCTTTGCTCAAATCGGAGTCATCATTTAAGCAATGAACGTGGTTCCTTTTGTAAAAGAAAAAAAATAAGTTTCATTGTATCATAGTTCACAAAAATTATGTCAGCAAGCTTTGACACTTCATATACTTTTTTTTAAAGTATTCACTATCCCTGCCCAGGGCAACTTATTTGAAAAGATGGCCGTTTAGTCAATATTTTAAAATGGTATAATACTTGCCAATTTTAATTGCATAAAAAATACTGTTGCAATTTTTTTAAATGTGGTCCTTTTGCAAAAATAATTAGCAATATTATTCTTTATGGAATAGAGTTCTAAGTAGCACAGCAACTAATTAGGTATGTCGCTTAACACCAGGCGCACGACTTATTCGTCCTGTCGCTTCGTATCTTAAAAAACTGGCAATCAATCTGTATCACTCTAATTCATGTCGAACAGCGTCAGTATCTATGTCACTGTCATATCTGACCAGCTCACTGTCACTAAACACTAGCTTTTTTAAATTTTTAGTTCCTCTTGAAATCTTGACTAAAGGCTACATTTTCAAGTACTTGTAAAAAGTGTCAAAGTTAGTTGAAATAATTTATTTAAATTATGACTCAACGAAAGTTTTTTTTTTACTAAAGTAACAACTTTCATCATTGACTTACAAATAAATGGACGACGGGTCTAATACAAAAACCACGAAAAAAAATGTCCCAATTCAACCTATTTAAACGTAGTGACATGTAAAGGAATATGAAAAAGCTAAAACGTTGAATTTAAATTGTAATGTCATCGCAGTACTGTCTAATTTAGCTTGCTTGGCTGTCAGTCGAACAAACGAAGATTAAAGCGTGAATGACGCTCTGTATACGATTTTAACGCCCTATAAGTTCGGATATTTTTTAGCGCGGACCCGACGTCCATATAATTGTAAGTCAATGACTTTCATCGTTTGATTTGTGAATCCGATAAATAGCGTGGTTATTTAGAATAACGTTAAAAAAAAGGAAAATTTAAAAATTCTGATTTGGTCAATGGTGTCTTTAGTGGATTTTTTTAGTTTTACCAGAACTGATATAACCTGGCCTCTCGCGCGTTGCCCGTTTAACGATGAATAGTGAGACAACCTGTATAATGATAAGCATAAACTAGCCCTTACGCCTATTCCATCCAGAAGCTTCAATGACATAAACTCAAATCGCAAACTAGGTATGTACTGTAACAGCTACCTGTGTCGGCGGCGGAATCGGTCGTAGCGGGCGGCGGGGGCTCCTCCCCGCCGCCGTCGCAGCCCTACGCGGCCGCCAGCGCCTCCTAGCAACAAACACACAACAATAAAAACAAGACTACATTTCATAAAAGTGTCATATCAATATTAGAGTAGAGCTCCGTGGGAAAGAGTTCGTCCAGGGAAGTACTGGTACCATACCTATTACTACCGCCAAGCAATAATGTTATCATTACTGCATTCAGGTTTTGAAAGGTAAGGGGGTACCGGTGAAATTACAGGCACTTGTCCTTGCCAGACTTGTCCTACTTGCAAAGATATACTTTGCAATTTAGATTGTTGCACACTTAGAATAATAACGCATAGAATGATAGTTTCATATCAAACGAACTGTCACAAGTGAGGCAAAAACCAAATTCATGTAGGCGTAAGCAACTTGTAACTACGCTCGTCGGCACGCACACAAATATACAAATAATGATGCCATGGAATAACATTTCCCTCAAAAGTGGGGAAATTGTATCTTGCTTAACTCATCATTAAGTTAAAGGTGCCTACAGATTTGCCCGACATTGTCGATCAGGTGCCTACAGATATGCTCGGTTTTGTCGATGAAAAACGAATATAGCACTTATTTGTAAATCCAAGATGGCGGACACGATTTTTCAAAATATGCTATATGGGTAATGGTATCCTTTTCGAGGTATTTGGGGATGCTCATTACGAATATGGCACTCATTTCTAAATCCAAGATGGCGGACACGAGTTTTGAAATAAATGCAATATGGGTATCATTTTCGAGGTATTTGGGGATGCTCATTACGAATATGGCACTAATTTCTAAATCCAAGATGGCGGACACGAGTTTTCAAATAAATGCAATATGGGTATCATTTTCGAGGTACTTGGGGGTGCTCATGACGAATATGGCACTCATTTCTACATCCAAGATGGCGGGCACGATTTTTCAAAAAAATGCAATATGGGTATCATTTTCGAGGTACTTGGGGGTGCTCATTACGAATATGGCACTCATTTCTAAATCCAAGATGGCGGGCACGATTTTTTCAAAAAAATGCTATGTGGGTATCATTTTCGAGGTATTTGGGGATGCTCAATGCGAATATGGCACTATTTGTAAATCCAAGATGGCGGGCACGATTTTTCAAATAATGGCAAGTTCTCGCTCATTACGAATATTGCTTTTATTTGAACTGTCGTGTTTGCCATCTTGGATTTAGAAATGAGTCCCATATTTGTATTGAACATTCCCAAACATCTCGAAAACGATACCCAACTTGCCATTATTCGAAAAATCATGGCAATGGCGGGCGCCCATCTTAGATTTAGAAATAAGTGCCATATTCGAAACCTAAAACCGAAAATGCCATAAGCAAACATTAAAGAAAATAACTGTTAAAATAGATTAAAAAATCGCTTAAGAATGCTCCCCTTTTAAGAAAATAAAATATTTTAATATAAAATATTTCGCTTGAGTTACGAAAAGAAAGACATATAATAAGCTATCAAAGTTGTACTGGTGGTGCCAACACTATAGTAGAAACAAATATATACTGTAAATTTGTTGCAATATGTGCTCCAATTCAAATAAAATTAATATAAATAATTATTCAATAAAGCATGAACGCAGAGCCGTTAAAAGTATTATAAAATAATTAAGTGTCCCAATCACTTACAGGAGTTAACGAAAACATTTAATGTTTATTCGAGTAAATATTAGTTCAAAATGCGCAAATAAATCGAAATTACAGGCACCACTAAAATTTACGTAATATAATTATTTTGATACAGAATAGCAAAATGGGGAGAAAAAAAATTCGTTACTTTGCAACACTTTCGTATCTTGTTGCCGCGAAATTATTTTTCTGTTTTAGTGAATATTTACATAAAAATATGAGTTGAAACGCATTCATTACTTACTTGTGGAATGCGATGTTAGTGTCTATTTTGTTTGTCTGTTGTATTTTTACACCCATTTACCGCACATTTCGTCATTTTTAGCAAAAAATTTTGGAGCTGTTCGCGGTGCAATATGACCTTGAGCACTAACAGCCCGCGCGCTCCTGGGACGCGTTTGGAACCCTCTAACTTGCCTCACTTAGCGTGTGCGGGCTAGGTTTCTATGCGTTATTATTCTAAGGTTGCACACTTGTTAGTCTGGTTACTTGGTATCATAAAAAAAAATCAAGCGAATAACATGACATGGTGTAACAGCGTTCACGATTTATCATAAAAGTAATAAAAACCAGCACAATCGCCAGATCGTATCTACGGTTGATAGTTAAAAATGGCTGTACATAAATAATAAAAAAATGTAATAATATTAGAAGGTCTCTCAAATGACAGTAGATATAATTCTACCCTTTCATAAAATTTACTAATGATATCAAAAAATTACTAATTTTTAAACTTAGTGTCGCTTATTCCGTCAGTTTTCTTTTAAACCGTCGATATGCCAAGATTGGCGGTTACACCAGAACCCGATTTTTCAAGAACCTGCAAAATTGTTCTCTAGTAAGCAAGGCAACATAATATCAGGTTACTGTACTGTAATAGAGCTAGCAGACACACCTGCAAACGAATTCGCGCGCGCTTGACACGCTCCTCCTGTCGTCGCACGTCGTCCTTGGTGATTGTCACGGCAGCGATCAGCGGCTGCTCGGGGTTAAGGAATACTCCCGGGTTTTCCAAAATTGATTGCTTCGAACCTGTTTGACCTGTAAGTAGTAAAAAACTTGTAGAAGACCAGTTTGTCTGTTATTTGCCCAATCACCTTGGAAGCCTTACGAATGGCGACCAAGTTATTTATTGGCTCGTCTAAAGTATGTGATGGATCATGACGAGCAATGACCCGATGTTCCATGACTGGCCCCATCATTCTGTTACGATCCACTTGCACAAGTCGGCGATCGCATCCAATGGCAGCTGACCGTGACAATCAAGGAAAGACGAGTAGCCTTCCAAATTCATATTCTTTACTTGTTTCATTGGGTGTATTAATTACAGTTCTAAGAGAACCAAACAATGATTTTAATTAATGAATTTTTTCATCCATATTAAAAGCACCTTTTGTATGGGAAAGTAATCGCAAGATTGATGCGAAAGCAGCATTTTATACGTGCTCTGTGTGTGTGATGATGTGTTTTTGACACTTAATTATGGGATTTTTGTGACAGATTTGACGCGTACATAGACGACGATAGTCGTGAAGTTTGGGAATAATTTAGTACAACAGCGAATCAACTTACCAGTAATTGGCTGGGAGGAAACATGCAGAGCAGTAGCCAAAGACTGTATGGTGGTGGAATCAGAAATGTAAGGACCAAGAGTCTTGATATATTTAGGCAACGTTGTCGAGCCAATCACGCCATACGAATCGCATGCTGTCAGGGCCTGGAATTGAGGAATTTTAGAATTAGGGTGCATATAAAAAGGCAGTAAAATGTGGTACATATAGCGCATCGAATACAGGATCGTGACGACTAGTCGCGTTGCAATTTATAAAAGTCAAATAGATTTTTAACAGTATTATTATAATGAAGACGGGGCTGTGTTGGACAGGTTTTTTTTTATGGTGATTTTTACCTCCAATCTTTTCTCCCAAAAAAGCTGTTTAGGTTTCTCCTGGTTGCCGTGTTTCAAATCGGTCTTGACTTTGCTCTCTTGTGTTTTGTACACGGTCACCGGCTGTTTGAATATCGACGCAGTTTGTCGAATCGGAGGCACCAGTGACGCGTCTGAGCGTACGCCCCTGTGTAGTGAGAAAAGACATAAACTTTCATTCATCTGTTCATTCTGTTTAAATTGTGTCTGAAATAATACTCGGACTGTTGTTATTTCTATTTCATCAACTACATTTGAATATTATTCCAAGTGACCAGCTGTTTTGGTTTTTAAAACTTTAGACATTGATTAACTTATAAGTTACACAAGTAAAAACTACAGATCATGCTCTATATAACCTAGATCATGCTTTAGACTTACTGTGGTAGAGTTGTACAAAAATATAGAACTATTTTAAGAAAATAGCAAGGTAACGACATCTTGAGTCTATTAAAGAATACTTAGAAAATAATATTAAATAACTTCTATATATTTGCTATCATACCAAATGTTATGTGAATATTGTATTATGATCTTAAAATCGAAAACAGAACCTGATACAAGTTGAATATAAGAAAAGCACATAACACACAGACACCAACGCATGTACCTACTTAATAAGAACAACATTAACTGTCTCCGTGGCCGAACAGTTACCATGCCGGACTGCCACGCAGAGGTCCCAGGTTCGATTCCCGGGCCGGGAGAAATATTTGTATGACCTACATTTATTTCTCTCGTGAGTTTGGGTGTAATTTGTGGTTGTCTATGTGTGTGTCCATGGCACCCGCGATACAGGGTTTCCCTAGTGCGGGGCTATGTTGAGTGTGTGCGTTATTATTATAAAAAAAAAAAGATTAATTCACACAAGATATGATAAACATTAAAACACAAATAACATACTGAGACTAATTAAAATCTTTGGAAAGTCTGATTATGTCGCAATGTGGGAGTTATTTATATTGCTGGCTATGACTATGTATACACATATAGAACAAAAATATTTATGCTACAGACTTAAAAAGACACTATTTAATGAAACATGTATTTTACAATAAAAGCATTAACCATGTACCAGGTGTCAAAGATGTTTATTTTTACGTGTTTCAAATTAGAAAAAGATAGCACATAGCGAAACTGTATGATGTCATATACTATGATTTGCAAGGATATTGCATATTTTAAAATTTATGACATGGGTATTTTAATGTAACAATTATAACTTGGTCTCAGTATAAACTCCATTTGCAAACTCATAGCCTATGTCATCATACAAACCCTATTGCCACTGTATCTATAGTATTGTTACATACTACAGTGACTAGAAAAGCACTATAAGCTTGCACAGTGAAGTTGTGATACTAGGTAGTCAAAAAGCTGTGCAAATTTTGATATGTCTTGGGCCAAATGGTTTTTATGCAGAGTTTGTAAATTTTTGCTGCACAAAAAAGACATGAAAAGTGGAAATCATGACATGGCAGTGCAAGAGTGACAAAGTTAGGTGACCAAAATTTATTATTAGGGTGATTAAAACCTTTTCTATTTGACTGTACAATGTGGTTTTAAGCTGATGATACTGTTATTAACATAAGGAAAACTAAATAAATAAATTTTGTTGCTTACATTTAGTGTCAAAAAAGATACTGGGTTGCAACTTTATGTTGAATAATGAAAGTGGAATAATTCTTTATTTTCTTCCATTCAAGTTCGATGGAGAAAATATGGATAGAAGAATGAGACAGAGCTAAAAAAAGTTTTAGTTTTTTTTGTCAGCATAACATTAATAAAAAATAAATTGAAACAGAAACATCACAAAATGCAACTTAAAACCACACAGTAAAGACAGTTAACAACTAAGCGTCTAAAAGGAGCGTAACACAAAGCACAGGAACACTAAAACAACACAAGTGAGTACAACACTAATATGGGAACTTTAAGGGAACCTGTAATCAAACTGCGCCCGTGCCTTCTTCGTTTTACACAGTAGCATTGTGTTTATTTGACCCTGCTGAAAGTCGAAACATGATAGGTCCATACTATCACCCAGATAACGAACTAGCTCGGGCTTACTGCGAAACTTTTTACCTGTTGGGCTGTGGAAAATTCAATGTCACCAATGGCCATGTTAAAGTTAGTTGTTAATCCCTCATTTAGCGATGGGTGTGGATAAGAGAACATTTGATTGGCATATAAATTTATATACACCTCTCCATTAACAGGTTTAGTAAATTACTAATCTAAGTTGTATTTGCTAAAAAGTTATAAAAAAATTTGTCACAATATGTGATGAGGAGTACTATAATGAGATTGTGATAAAAAAAAATATTAAACATTTTATTTAAAGTACTCAGCAAAATAGTTACTAGTTTCAATAAGCTTTCTGCCAATCCAATGTTCAGAAAAATTATTTAAACTTCACTACAACTCCAATGAGTTAAGTGATATGTAGCAGTGAAATCAGTAACTTGAAGTTGCAATAATAAATTAGTTTTTCCTTCAGGCTGTGATGGATAATTAAGGTATATTATCAAGGCTAAATTGATCCCACATGGTGTTTGATCTATATCTATGTATAGTACTTTACTGGGTACATCGGGCTTGCCTGACAGGTATAAGTTATAAGGCTAAGTGTCAGTGAGGCCTAGAATTATATAAGTCAGGCAATCCCTTTTCCCGTCAAGGCATATATAGTGCTTTTCTCAAACAATGCGAAGAAATAATATATAATAAAAGTAGAAAATGCAGAAAAAAGAAAAGTTAAAATGTACAATTTTTTTCCTCACAATTTAAAGACAATTTTTCTTGAGTCCTTTTACATAATTATTGTTAGTAAATTAATTCAAAAGTCTAGAACAGTGTTTGTAAATAAATTTTTAAACTTACTTCCTTGGTCTATAAAGAGTTACATGGTCTGTAAACAACAACAGCTACAATTTCTTTGTGTTCTTTTCTTTTAAATTTAAATATTTCTTAGGCATGTTTGAGAAAAATTACTTGTTTAGTATATTAAACCTAAGTACCATATGTTTTTCTTACAAAGTGGTGAATTTCAGCTAGTGAGCAATTTGCAATGAAACAAATGTAGCAAAAAAATTAGTATGGCGAGCGAAAATCTCTCCCCATACCAAAGCGTGTAAACGCGTTTTTTGTTTGCTACAGTTGTTCAGAAATTTGGACCACTTGGTCAGAAATAGCCTAAAATAAATCGCCTGTGTCTAAAAGACTATTTATTTTCTTTCGAAAACTGGAAACCATGAAAATCGCTACAATAAAATACACTTATATTATTGGTTATTTCGTTAATCTATATCTAAGGGAACCAGAAAAGTTAGTAATGAGGATTACCTGTAATAATAAACATCAACTTTTCCAGCAGAAAGACCAGATTTTCTCAAAACTTCCTCTCTTTGCCAGCCTTTGGGTAACGCAGGACAATCAGTACGTTTCTTCTCTATAGAGATATTCATCTCGACAAATTGTTGTATGGCTATGCGTTCTCGTTGCAAACAGATACACAAATCAGCTAATATATTCCGTTAAAGTAAGAAAACTATACACTCTACATGGACATACGCTATATCCAACTACAAAATGTCTACAAACCAGTCAATCTTCCATTAACTATTAACTAAAAACAAATTGCTGAGATGAGTCGAGTCTGAGACAGAGACAGTCACAAATTTCACAAACCACTAATACAAGAGACAATGTAAAATTGTAAATGTCAAAAGTTGTCAAGGATGCTTAATTGCTAGATATAATAAAACTAAATGTTTTATTACTGATTAGTTTTTTATCCGGAGTTATTTATTTAACAATGACTTAATAAGCAACCCTAAACCTACCTTCCTCAAGAGTAGTCGGTTGTGAATAGTTGGGTCATGGAAAAATTAAAAAAATTTCCATTTAAAAAAAAACCGTATTTTTCTGATATTTTTCCAATATATTATTTCATATTTTTTTCCACATTTGACGTTGACACCTGCCAAAAGTTGAAGTTACTGAACGAAAACGATGGAGCCATTAAAAAGGTTGTTATTCGCTGTAAAGCTCGTTTCACAATCCACAAATTCTGGCAATATATTGCCGCATTTTATCGCGTTGCGCGATGAGGCCTTTAATTGACCAATCAGGAGCAGTGACTATAGCTCCTGATTAGTTGACTGAAGGTCATATCGCGCAACGCGTTAAATTGTGGCAATATATTGCCAGAATTTGTGCATTGTGAATCCACCTTTAAACTAATCATTCTATAATCTCGTTTTTCTGTAATTTGCTTCGAGTTATACAAATTTTACTTTTCACGCTAAATCTTCAAAAGATATTTCTAAACCAAGACATAATACATATATTTTATATATTTATTCAGTACTTTTCAAATTTTACAGAATTTTTTCGGATAAATTTCCACTATCTTCATCACAAATCACAAATTGTTCGGAAAATTAACCTACTGTAATCCTAAGGTCGTGAAAAATGACATAAAAAAATTATATTGTGGATTTCATTGTCTGTGGTAAAAGAAATGCGGGAATTATCTACGCGGGAAGTTCAACTATTTACATTAAATTTTCTCCTATTTTGAATTAAATTATTTTGTATTATTTTGCAAATAAATTTACCAGTGACTAGCGCAAAAAAGCCGCAATGACCTCTGATAATGGAGGCAATCTTAGTAAACACAACAAAAAGTGAAAAATTACGGTTAATCGATTCATTATTTTCGAGAAAAAAATACGTTGAAAGCTTTTTAATATCTTTCATATATTCAGTCAGTGCACCAATGAAAACATCAGATCCAGCAATGAAGATACAATTTATTTGAATAACATATTCAGTAGGTATGAACGAAGAACTGAAAGAAATAAAACGGTGCATCCAGCACCAAATTGTGCAATTGTCTTGGATAACTCAAAAACTCGCGTCTCAAAAATACATCCTTATCCTCACATGATTATTCTGACTTCCAATTTAGAATGCACAATTAAGGGTCATCAAATTCATTTCAACGGATTTAATATGCGAGTATTTTTTGATTAGTGAGCAGTTCCTAGGAAATAACATCCATTCGAAGAACTAAGAAGAGTTTCGAAGCCATCATACCTACAATTTATAGCAAATTTATAATTATGGGTGCGTGTTGTATACCACGCAACTTTATGTTTACTACCAGTCTCGCAGTCCCTGTTTTAGTTATGGGAGATTTTAACGCACAACATACCGCTTTGGGTTCAGGTATTATTAAAACCTAGAAGAATACAAATTCTTTACTTGTTAAATAAGTGACATTTTCCACAAAAAATCTCCAAATTATGTACCAATTGTAAGAAATTCACCATCTTTCTGCAGATAAATCTCATATTAAGTTTATAGCTTTTTTGTTATTGAGTTTCACGTGCAGAAAGATAGTGATTTTCTTATCATAGCTATATAAATTAAAGACTTTTGTGGAAAATGTCACTTATGTGGTTTTACTTTCAAACAGACGAAATATTGGTGCATCAACAACGTCAAACGTCCAAATTATTCAGTTCCAGCTATTGATATTGAATTTAGTTCTCCAACTTTAGCCACTTCAGAGGAATGGTAAGTGCAGTATTCTAATGATCTTTGGGAAGGTGGTACTCTACTATGTCTGTATAACAACGAAGTCAAATGTGTATATCTGTCCCATTAAATATTATCTTTAGCTAAAAGATCATATAAGAGAATAAAAAATAAATAAAACAGAATAGCTAAATGATCATATAAGTATACGCGATGCAGTCGTTAATCGTTTACCTTTACACACGCGCGGGAATTTAAGCAGCGATGCAAGCGTGCGACTGCATCGATACGAACGCGCGATTGCATCGCTATACTTGGGATTTCTATGCAATTATATCGAAGCAATCGCGCGTTTGTATCGATGCAATCGCGCGTATGTATCGATGCAGTCGCGCGTTTGCATCGATGCAATCGCCTATAAATCGCAAGTGTAACGATGCAATCACGCGTTTCACGGACGCGCGTTTGCATCGCTGCTAAAAGTCACCGTATGTAAAAAAACATATTTTACAGAACCCTATACATATTCATATAAAATATTATTTTATAAAAATAAGTTTTTGAGGGAAATAAATTTGTAGGAGTAGTATTTGACTTAAAAATTATTTTTGATTACCATTTTAATCAAATAGAATGCAAAAAGTGTGAATATAAATAGGTCATTAAGTTAATGTAAGTTGGGATGTGGACCCCAAAGTTTAAATAATTATTTATAAGGCAATTGTAACAAGTCACTATTACTATGGTTTAATAGTTTTCGCAAGACTACTAGTATAAGCTCATTACTATTTCGTACATTGTTTGTTAGTTAGTTTGTTTTAAGATACTAAATGACGGGACGAACACTGATGCTGATAAGCGCTTAAAGTCAAAAGGAAATCACGAAACTTTGACACTTATGAAAATTAAAGCATTATCGACCTTAGGGTCGTATTCTAGAATTCTACTCAATACTCAATTCAGGACTTGAGTAATGCAGTGAGCACTGAAAATCATACTCAAGTCCTTGCCATTAGGGTCGTATTTCCAGTGAAATCATACTCAAGTCTGCTCAAATCCTGACTTGAGCATTGCAGTGAGCACTGAAAATCATACTCAAGTCCTTGCCATTAGGATCGTATTTCCAGTGCTTCAAATCATACTCAAGTCTGCTCAAATCCTGACTTGAGCGTTGAGTAGAGTTATGGAATACGAACCTTAGGGTCGTATAATTTCAAGCACTGGAAAATGGCAAGGACTTGCCATTAGGGTCATATTTTCATTAGGGTCATGATACTCAAGTACTGACTTGAGCATCGAGTAGAGTTCTGGAATACTACCCTAAGGGTCGTATTCCAGAACACTAACTCATACTCAAGTCCTGACTTGAGCATTGAGTAGAGTTCTAGAATACGGCCTTTAGACTATTCCTTTATTTTTTTCCATCCTCTAAGTTATCGACAGATTAGATTTGGACATGGTAATTTCGAAGTTCATCTTATTTATTTGTTGACCATTGGCCATAGAGCCATGATCAGCTTAAACAAGTAACAATTAATTGAAACTCAAAATAATACCCATGTAAAAGTTGATTTGTGAAAAAACTGGAATTACAAAACTCGCCATTTTTCTAAAATGTTTAAAAGCTACTTTCAACATAATCACGAAACGGAAACTTCTCAAATATAGAGTGTATGATATGATAATATGCACTTTCCTATTCTGTATCTATGATATGCACAAACTAGTAGGACAAACCAATGTAGGTTTAAGGGTGTGATGTATATATATTTTTGTAATATTCTTAGTGTTTAAAATAAATAAATAAATAAAATAAATAAATAGTATGAGATCACGAAAATACCTGATTTCTGTGCTATAGATATATATATTTTCTTTTTTCTTGGCTCTTCGTGTTAATGTTTTAGCTACGTGCAAGGTTTTGACTTGTGTCTTTAAAATGCGAAAACTTAAAAAGGAGATTTGAGAAAGAGAAAGAAGAGATCAGGCGAGGAACTATGAGATATAAACATATTTAAAGACGAATGTATTTTGAAAGCAAGATTCTGAAAAAAGAAGATCTTCAATAATCTGAAGATTTATTTTATTTTGTTTTATTTGAAGATTTATTAAGATTTATTGGTTAATAGATTTATTCCAATGCCGTGAAACCAATTACAAAAAAATATTGTCTGTAGTCTGTGGCCAATCTGTCTGTGACTAATTTTTTAATAAAGTCCGGTCCGGTGTTCGGTTGTTGTCCGTCGGTTGTGGTTTTCGTTAATTTCGTCAAATTTTATTACATAAAATTAAACGATTTTCACGTAACTAAAGTACGCGAGTATTTCTACGATAGCCGTTAACGTTGTGAAGGTGAGTACCGAGATTCATTTTGTTACTTGGGATATTTTTCCTGGTGATGTCAACTTTTTTGGACGATACTTTCACTTGAATAATTTTATGTGTTTCCTTTTCTTATAAGACCGAACACTTTTGCTAATCTTCAGACTTGTTGTTACGACAATACTGTCGCGATATCTCGTTTAATTACTTAGGAAAAAGCCTTTTTTCCTCATTTTGTACCTGTTACTTTGTTGCACCAGCGGTATCCAGGTTGTCACTTTATTTACTTGTCCGTTTCGTATGTACTATATATCTCTCTATACTTTTCCTGTTAATGATGTACATTCGTTACCTTTACGATTATTTAATAAAATACTGGAAAATCGCTGAATAGGTTAATGCGCTGTAAGCATTCATACCAAATAGTACTTGCGTTTGATTATAAAAGGCATTAAATGTTTTCATATACATAATCCATTACTTGATAAGTATGTACTTCGAGATATATATAGAAGCAGAAGTTTGCTAAACTTTAGTAGTAGTTGTGCCAAAAATACTCTACTCAATATTTTCATTGTCTCCATTATGGTACATGAGGTCTTAAAATTAAAATAATATTACACATAATTATTATATATTAACTTATTGTTATCCCTAACACAGGCTCTGCTCTTAAGCAGGGGCAGGCCAAGGTTTGAATTAG